TGTACTCTTTAATCAAATATCAAATGGAACCCTTATTCTCCGTTTATGGTCAAAAATTGGGGATTTTCCAAAAAAAAAAAAACAATTTTTATACGTCCGCATGGTTATAAAATGTGATGACTACATAAATTAACATACAGTTTCATATATAGATGGCGGTAAACATATCGTGTACTCTTTAATCAAATATCAAATAGAACCCTTATTCTCCGTTTGTGGTCAAAAATTGGGGATTTTCCAAAAAAAAAAAAACAATTTTTATACGTCCGCTATATCGTTTTTTGAGCGATGTTAATAATTCTAGGACATACTAGAGCCAAACATGTACTCTTTCAAATCACGTAGGAATTTTTGGACTCGGAGGTTCCAGTGGTGAGAAATCACGCAAGAGTTGATAATTTTTCGGGAGATACCAGAAGAGGACCACATATTTTTGGAAAATGTTTACGATTTACAAAGATTGCATCCAATCAGAAATTTTATTATCTTGATATTGGATTAACAATTTTTTTAAATATTGACACTATGTGGGTAAGTTACCAGAAAAAGTGGCCCAACAGGTCCTATTTTCAAGCTTGGTCTATGAAATTGGATAATACGTTGAAACATTGTGATGGAGTTATTAGAAGGAGTGGACCGATAACTCCCATCTTCCAAATTTGACATGATTAAAATATTAAGTAGTGCAATGTTTAGTTCAAATCGGATAGCTCGTTCGCATGATATTAAAGAATTAAGTTTCAGCAATATTTTTGCTATATGGGAGATACCGGAAAGAGAGGACCGATGAGTCACATCTTCCAACCTGAATTAAGTTTGAAAGAAATATTACGATGTGTGTAAAAGAAATATTACCATAAATATTACGGAGTTTTCAAAATGTTAACCCTTAATGGGGGAGGTACTACGAGGAGTGAATCGATAAGTCCCATCTCCCAACTATATAAAATTAATTTTCAGCAACATTTTGACCATTTTGTGGGGGAAGTATCACAAGGAGTGGATTGACATCCTCCATTTTCGAACTTGGTCTAAATTTGAAATAAATATTTCGATGTACAAAATTTGAATGAAATCGGATACTCCCTTCGAGAGTTATCGTGCGCACCAGCTGGCCAGACAGACGGACATTTGTAAATCGACTTCAAATTGTGTGAAACGGATTTGGTCGAAAGAAACATGGGATCTAAAGCCAATATTTCGATGTGGCACATTTGTGTCGTATCAAATATAAAGCTGATGGTATAAAAACATATACCTTATATAAGTCGAATAATAAAATATGTGTGTTATTCCGTACATCTCCGCAAACCCTAGGCTGAGAATATATATCTCTCGACAACACCGACTGGCACTTTACTGGTTTTCAAGAAAATAGTTCATTCGCGGATCAAAACAATCAGATGCTGACCATGTTTTTATCGATATTGAATTTTTTTTTTTGAGAAGTCTTAACATATATATAGATGATTTATATATATATATATATATATAGATGATTTAAGGATAAATATAAAAATAAAAAAAAAAAATTGTATTTTATTCGCCATATTCCCCAATATCTCTTGAAAATCCCAAAAATTTAATACACATTTTAGATATTTTAAATATTTTGCGTAAAATGCACACAGCTGGATTTAGAAATCCACATTTCTGTTGTTTTATTTTTTTATTTGTATACTTCGAAAAAAATATCATCGGTACATTCATTATCATACATACATAAAGTTGTTACAGATATAGATAATATCTCTTTCTCTAAAAAAATATCATCAAAAGTATTCACCCTAAGAAATATAAATAATCTGCTTTTGTTTTGTTTTTTCTTTCAAAAGGGCTACAACAGTTATTGCAACATAATAATTCATAAAAAATACATGTTATATAAATATATATTTATATATATGAATGTAGATAGTTTACATATATTTATGTATGTTTAGATAGATGTAATATGTATATATAAAAAATGTGTAAGGTAAACATAGCTAAAATTTGTTTGGCTATGCATAAAGTCTTAAAGGAATGTTTTAGAGATTTATTATTATAATTTGTTATTGTTAATTTCTTTGATATTGAATATAAAAAAATACATAGAATTGAATATGTTCATACAATAAAATTAAATAAAATGTATATTGTGGGGTGGTCATTAATCTTCAGCCCCAGAAAAAGATTATAAACAAAGGGAAATGAGAGAATATAATAAATACTTTGTTGTTGTTATTTTAATTAAACATATTTGAAAATAATTTATAGTATACGTTTCATTTGTGTTATATGTATATACATTGCACATCGTATGTTGTGTAGGTATATATTTTCCGTTGTTTGTGTAACGTTGTATACAAATTTATAAGAAATCTATGAGGTTAGATTTTTTATGGACGTGTCTTAGCTGCCAATAAACATTTTGAAATTATAAATTACGTTTTTTGTGTGTAAAGAATATTTGCGTTGTTGTTTTTCTAAAATTTAATATTGGTTACTGTTTTCTATATCTACATTTAGGGGGAATTGTATTACTACTAGTTTGTTGATTTTTTGGAACATGAAAAATCTATTGTATATGGATGGATAAAAGTGACAAACTAGATGGTGACCTCTAACAAAGAAACGGGGAGCCAATGTGTTGGAATTGGTGCTTGGAAAACCAAAAATACTGAGTTTAACCCAAAAACAACAATATACTATTAACTTCTCGGGTCTATATCCTTCAAGAGTAAATATACAAAATCTGCGTCCATTTGATAGCTAAATATTGACCTATCTTCAGCAAACCGGTCATGCTTATTTTTTGGCCAGACAAAAAAAGTTTTGGTCTATTTGATCTCCTAAATATTAACCAATCATTAATAAAAAAAAACTATAGAGATATTTTAGGGCCAGAATCCGCCCTACATGCAAAATGTTGAGATGATTGGTCTATAATTGTAGCCTGAGAGAATCAAAAATATGAAATTATATACGAGCGTTGAAGTAGTTCATAATAAACCCAATTTTCCTTTGACAGACCCTATAAGGCGACAGAAGAAAAGATAATCGGGAGCTTCATCATAGTTTTAGAACCAAGAAGTATAAGTCATAAAGAAGTTGTGCTGAGAAACTGAATAAACAGGCGCCAAAGCATGGGTCAGTAGTGAAGACGAAAATGAATAAATAATTCTTTGTATCTTAAAAAAAAACTTTGTCTGGCAAATTCCTCAAAAAAGAGCTCATAGACCATCTGAGGACAACGATGAAACCAACGTCAGATCTGCCAACTATTGGTTTTATACTCGTACCAATAAAGAAAACACCTTCTTTTGTATTCTTCCCAGATGTTAACTGCATTCTCGGCAAGATTGAACTACTGCAGAGAATTAAAAAAAAAAACTATTTAAAGCCAATTTAGGTTTGGTGGACATTAAAAATAGCTAAAATCGTTCGGACTTCTTTATGTTCACAAGAATATTCATATTCAAAAACAAGTAAAAACGTCGTTTAGTTTGGGCGGGCCGGGCCGAGATGTCCATAGCCTTCACCTTGAGGGCCAGAGCCTTCACCTAAAATCGATCTAGTCTTCCAGGAGAAAAGGAAACACCAAACTACTGACACTCAGATTGGCCTAGAATATGGAACATGATGCCTGACTTCTGAAAAAAGAGAGTTTTAAATCCTCAAAATCATATACAAAAAACGGGACCCGATATTGATAATTTTTGGTTGTGAGATTATACACCCAATAAGAATCCAAAATATATAAGTACAACCAATTCGGTTAATAAACGTGACCAAGGTAAACAACTACCGAATATTAGGGATACCCCGAATATTAGGGTCTACGCCGAAACTTGTTTCAATATAAAACAATATTAGAAGGGAGGTTCACTAAACATTGGGACTCCAATTCGTCGAAAAACGTGAGCAACATCTACAAAATACTGAATATTGGGAGGTTCTGTTATATGGAGGGGTTACCCCAAAATTGATTCAATAATAATTTTAAGTATGAAGGTTTGCTATACCTTGAGAATCAAAATGCCAACTTACAGCCAATTATTCAGTTGAAAAATGTGTCCAACATCCCTAAAATATCGAATACAAAACGAGCTAGAAGTATTAGCAATGACTATGCATTTCAGTGCTCTATATAAATAAAATGTCTATTCTGATCAAGAATATATACTCTATTTGACCACTTGGGATATAATGGCGACTCTTGATAATATTTGAAAATTTTCCGGTAATTGAAATACTCCCATCATTTCTAAATAATTGAGAATCAGCAGTATTCGAACTAGACTTATACATTAAGTTGAATTCATACACAAAGCATTGACAACAAGACTGTCAATTCATCCGACAGACAAAAAATTAAGAAAACCCAAATATTTGTTATTTATGACAGGTAATAGAATTTTTGCAGAAAAATGGTGGCCAAGCATTTCTATAAAAACTAAACCATATTCAACAAATAATGTTAAAAAGGAGAATGCAAGCACAATAGGAAGTTTTTCTTAGTTTTCGAATGTTCTTATATATATTTCATTTTTATCCATCCATTTTTTTGGGACACTCTATAAATTACTAAATTACAATTTCAATTGTCCTCTGAAGAATGTATTCGAACACAGTTAATTATTATAAATAATTGAATGTTAATAGTTTGGAATTTTTTAATGAATGCCCACAGCACACAGTTTCTATAAATCGACAATTGATAAATTAAAATAAAAAATATAAAAAAAAATCCATTACTTACGATAATAATTCAAAAATCTAAACGCTAATCACAAAAACAAAAAATACACACATATTTCCTAAAGAAATACAATTAAATAATAAAAAATAGATACACTCACACATACAGATAATATACACATACATATATTGTATTTATCTACTAACTAACCTTAAATGACAATCAAATCCTAAAATGTAATATGTACATTTGTACTAACCTATACATAACCAGCTAACTATGTACTACGTTATCTATACTCTATTGTCGTCCGAACCTATCGTCGCCTATCCGTCACCACGACAATTGCTATAGAAACTATAACTACAACAATTGGCTGATGGTACCAATTGAGAGCATTCAATGCACTGGCACCACATTGTAGATAATCTCGAGGATATTTATTTAGCGGTGGAGCTTCCTCTCTCAAACGACATTCTTCATCGCGGGCACCAAAATATTCACCACACATTTCTTCACATGAAGGACATATGAGTGCTCCGCGGTGTAACCAATCATTAGCCGATATACTTATCGATAGTTTTTGCCCGGGGAAATAACAGGTGTAACTGTAATTTCCAACGAAAATGTGTAGACGACCTTCGCTGCAATTGTAGCGATAGCAACCCGAGCCCCAATGTTGCCATTCACGTGTGTGATGGCAATTGCGTTCTTCCCACATAGCATCGCCGTGATCGAAACATTTCGATCCCTGGCCATAGCTTTCGAGGGCGTAGTTCTTTTCCGCTTCTGTAAAAGGGAAATTAAAAATGGAAATTAGTATAGTTTTTAAAATACATTTCTGTTACGCATAACTCACTTGGATTATTTTCCACAAAATGACAGTGGGAACCACGTATTGTAATATTCTTATTGCGCCATGTAAACTCTTGTATATAAGGACAATGATCGGCCAAGGCCACAGAGCCACCATAATATACTTCATCGCCATCTTTTATGTTGCTAATGCTATCAAAATTCTATGATATAAAAATACAAAACAATTTTAGTAATATATTAAAGCAGTGTTTGTGGTTTGTTTGGGATACAAATGATATTTTGTGTTAAGATAGTCCTGGAACAATCTCCTATATCTTAAACAATTTTGTTTTACTCACCTGATACTTTTCCGGCAACTCATAATTGTGTCGTATCAAATTACACAATGCCACCGAGTTTCGATCATCTGTACACTCAGTTTGTAAAGGATCTTGTTTGACTTTTGAGCAGAATGGATGTATTGAGCGCCCTCTGTATATAGCAAGAACAAGTTTAAATGGGTAAATTCAAAATAAAATGGGTATATCGATATTACCTGGCATTATTTAATTGTATCCAATCCTTACAGCTCCGCATAACAAAATTACAGCCCAAACCACGACCCCATGACAGCGGACTTCCCATACTGTAGTTTGCACGATACCATCCCGAATCTTCCATTAATGCTAGGGTAATGCGTGAAAATACTGGTGATTGGGTATGGGTACCAGTCATAGCCTCATTCTGAAATACAAGAATACGAAGATTATGTTGATAAAAATATATAAATCAGGTTTAAAGTTATTATGTTTATAAATTAGTAGACGTCGACTAATTTGACCAAATTGGGCTATTATGAATTACAGGAAAATAAATCTTTTAAGCTTCAGTTTAAGGTCCTATTTAGGATGACACCGAAATAGTTTCTTTGCTAATTGGCGTCCTCTACGTTTCTGTTGATTTTTATATCCTCCGTCATGTTTTGAAAGATACATTTTGATTGTCCTATGAGCATTTCCCACTGTTATGGTTATAAGCATGCATTTCGGGTCTTTAGAGGATAAGTTACCATTCGGCAGACAATGTAATATAATCATTTTTGATATAACCCCACATTTACGGAACCCAAATAATCAATTTTAGGTATTTTCAAAAAATTCGTAGTCCTGTCACTTTCTATACACCTGCAGGACTAATACCCGAAGCAAGGCCAAACTTCTCAGCAGCGGCAATGGTATTGGTCAATGAGCTTGGAAAGAGAGACTGACTAGACCACCTGAAGAATTGAAACATTTCTGTGGCACTCACGACACTCACAATGAAGGAAAGATGACAGAACTAATTTCACAATTAACGACGGGGTCCCACAGGGTCATATGGTCAATAAGGAATACTGCCTTGAATCAGGAACCACCGTATTCAACGGAATTAGCACCGATTGACTTTTGCCTCTTCCCAAAACTAAGGACACCGGTGTAAGGAAAATGTTTTGTGACGATTGAGGAGAAAATTCGAAACAAGTGCTGCGCATTTCAGAAGTGGAGCAAGAAAACAGTTTATGTAGGTTGAGGATGTCTCCGGAATAAAACACAGGTTTTTATAAGGTATATGTCTTTATCAAAGAGTTGCCCAACTTTGGGGAGAAGAAGATGTTGCCCTATAGACCCATCTTAGGATTAAAGGTAGGTTTGGAAATATGTTACGATTTACAAAGTTTGGATAAAATCAGACATTCCATTAATTTGATGTTGGATTAACAAATTTTCAAAATATTTGCACTTTGTGTGGAAGGTACCAGAAAGAGTGGAACAATATGTCCAATTTCTAAGCATGATCTATGAAAAGTAAATATATTACCATATGTAAAATTTGGATGAAATTGCATATTCGGTCCGATCCGTAAGAGATTTACAAGTTTTCAAAATGTTGACCCTTTGTGGGGGATGTACTAGAAGGGATGGATCGATGAGTTCCAACTTGCATTAAGTTTGAAAGAAATATTACGATGTACATATGTGGCATCAAATCGGACATTCCATACCATTGTTATTAAAATGTTGACCCATTTTGAGTAAGGTAGCAGAAGGAATGTACCGATGGAAGGTACTTCCTTGGATTCTGAAACGGATTTGATCCAAAGAAATATGGGGTGGTTCTAAATCTCACGTTTCATTTCATTAGCCACCACGATAAGGCAGATTCCCACAGTTTACCGGACATAGACATACGGTCATGAATTAGACCACTAATTTCTTGGCAACACAGGCCTATCAAGCAGGGTTGATTGAGTGAGAAAGCTATTCGAGAATAATCCTCTAAGAAAACTCGGCACCGATAGAAACATCTACCGCGACAAAACTAGAGTGGTTTTAACATAACTGAGCCGATGGTGGTGTAGCCGACTCAATTGAACACTAATTGAGGACACGGTGGATAATATCTGCTCGGAGTGTGTAATGGTGCACATGACACGCTTACTCTGCTCAGCCAAACCTATTCACCTAACCCCATCTTCACTTTGGACACAACTGTGACCTTTTCAACTTGGAGTTAGAAGCAAAACAAGATTAGAAAAGAACTCTGGAGAGGTCCAGAAGTAAAAAAGAGGGTATCTGTATCAACAAAGTAAGCTAGAAGGATGGGTATCTACCACCCATAGTCATCCAGAGGTAGGTAAAAAAAAGAGGGTATCAACAGGGTAAGCAATAAGGATTGAATAGTATTCACACTGAGTGTGTATTATTAGGTGCAGAAGATCATATGCTCCAGACCTCAATTCCTATTTGGTGCGAAATAATGGCATGGTTCATAACCATGTCTCGAATTGAGCAACAAACCCACAACCTGCAAAGGGTCGCCGATTTTTAACTTGGTGTTAGAAACAGAACCATATTGAACTTCTTTAAAAGCTGCGATAATTTTGAAAACTCTGAGCCGCGTACTTCATGGAAATATGACAGATTTTTCTTCATTTGAATTTATATTGAAATTATAACGAAATAACTGAAGTTTAATCGAATATTCAATATTCGAATGTTCGACATTTGATAAATTCAAGGTTCCGGAGTCGAGCTCCATACTCGGAGTCTAAAACGTACATTATAAATATGTTTTTCTCATATTGGTTTTCTCGACACCTACAATTTCTTCCCTGGTGTACACATACATTTGTTCAACGTTTGGAAATTGCGTAAAAGCTAAGTAGGCGGCAACATTTATGTTCTCATGAAAACCAAACCACTTCGTACTTACCTCCAAAATACGTTTCTCCCAGTGAGTCAAGGCGGTACCCTCACCACCTTGATCCTCCAATTCGGCACCCTCCAATTTATCACAATTGAAATGTTTACGGACTTCGGCAACAACACGTGGCGTAACCATCATATCAATGGTTTTATTCACATGACCACCACGGACCGACCAATTCGTACGTGTTATTTTGCGTATCGTTGTGTTACTCCATTGATGGATTTGGAGACTGCAAAGTAAAACAAATTTTACATAAATAAAATTATAAAATAACTTTAAAAATGTTAATACATACTCTTCATTTAAATGCGGTTTCCCCGTGTCCGGATTTCTTGGCGTTCTCGGATTACCATCATCATCACGGAAAAATGCAAACAAACTAACCGAGAAACCCAGAGCATGAAGTATTTCATGTTTCACTGTCGATATCAGTGTATGCAATTCCTGAGGTTTTGTACTAATACTGTCGGGGCAAAGATTGGCATGACCGGCAATTGGACGATCTAGGGTAGCCTCTTGTTGGCAATGGGCAGCGTAGGCCACTGTCAATCCCTTGTGACAACGTTCTGTTTGCCGTGCCGAGACGTAAAATACAAAATCGGTATTTTCAATACCATCACCGGCTTGTGTCGAATCATCGACACGACAATTTTGTCCAGTGGCATTACAGACGCGACAAACCTTTGAAAGAGACGAAGAAACGATTAATGTTTATGAGTTTTTTGTATTTAATGACTATTATTATTTTCGTTTGTTTTCAACTTACATCCAAATGATCTTCGGGTACTTGAACTTCACCACACATGGTCACCGGCCGGCAGTTGTCTATACAGTGGGTTTGACCATTTTTAACATAGATTTGTGTGCTGTTGCATTTTCTGTAGAAGAGGTAGATAGATGTGATTAGCGTCATTTAATATATTTAAGAGAGAAAGGTGATAATTAGGAATTTTATGTGTAATGTATCTAGGACGATCTTTCGAAATTTTACTTATTTCAAAGATCCTTACCTATTTAATCTTATAGGTCCCTTTGTTTGTCGCACCATTAACGCTTGTTCCCAAAATTTAATTGCCTCTGGCAGTACAGTGTCCTGAAATAAATTAAAATAAATAAATTAGTTCATGTTATATTAGTTATATATAATGCCATGTTCTGATGAGCATTCGAACAACGTAGTTCGCTCTCAGAATTACGTACATGAATTAACCCGTTCATACAACACTATGCTTAATTCATGTCATCCGATTTTATTTGTTTAAACTTTTTGTTTCTTGTTTTACACCAAAATTGTAACATAGCACCGAAAATATATATGGGTGCTATATCTAAATCTGAGCCGATTTTCATTAAACATATTATTCTAGTCTTAATTAAGTACGAATTTCGTGCAAATCGAAGGATATATAGGGACTTTGGTGCACCATTTACATTAAATCGGACGAAAATATATATATGGGAGCTATATCCAAATCTGAACCGATTTTCAGGAAACTTGACACACAAATTTCGTGTAAATCGAAAGATATATAGGGACCGTTTACATTAAATCGGACGAAACTATATATGGGAGCTATATCTAAATCTGAACCGATTTTCTCCAATTTCAATAGGGTTCGTCTTTGGGCCAAATAAGTGAACTGTGCCAATTGTATGTTGGTTTGAGATCGGTTTATGGTCTTGGAAATTAGTACCGAAGTGCGCGAAAAGATTTGAAAGTGTAGATAGTCTTGAAATTCCGAATATTTGAAGAAATGTAAAAAATCTACAGACTCGAGATTTGGCTCTGCAGAAAATTAAAGTTCTATGATTCTATGATTGGTCGATTACGTCCTTCTATATGGCTTAGTTTTCTTATTAGTAATGTTTTGAGATGCATATCACAGCCAAGAGATGTTATTTCGAATTACCCAGTATATGGATTCTTAAAAATTTTTGCAAGTATAAACTATGCCATTATAAAAAATAGAACGACTCTCCTAGTTCCAACAATACCTTCAATGTATTAAAATTTACTGCAAAAAATCTTACAGTTGGGAGAAGTCGCCCATTCTCCGTCGTTAATAGAAATTGGGCATTCTAAAAATGTCAAGACTTAATGCCAGTAAAAAAAATCAAAAATTTGAAGGAACCGACTATATGATACCCTTGTAAATCTAAACTGATTTCAACAAAACATAATACACGTCATTCTATATTCAATACAATATGCTATATCGTATATATGGAAAAATGCAGGGTCTTTGATGCACCATTTACATAAATTCGGGCGAAATTATATATGGAAGCTATATCTAAATCTGAACCGATTTCAACGAAACATAACATACAGTATAAACTCGATAATCCGGACTATTCGGTAATCCGGACTGCATTTCACAATTCATTGCGTATCCTACAATCCGGATTGTTTGCAACTTGATAATCCGGATTGTGTTCAAACATTATATATATTGCTTTTTTATTGAAGTCGTAGCAAATGAAACACTTGTTTCAGCATGTGGGAATCATAAAACCGTTTTTCTGCCACCAAACACGACAAGCCTTGTACAACCAATGGATCAAAATCCAATAAGAGTGACAAAAATGTACTATAAAAAGTCGCTGTTGTGTGAAATGATAAATGCTGATAACGAAGATTACACGCAATTTTTGAAGAATTTCAATATTAAAATGTGCTGCATTTTGCTAAAAAAAACTCTTGGGAGAAAGTGAGTGAGAGGTTACTAAGATCCAGCTGGAAAAATCTGCTCAAGGAAGAATGGGATTCTGAAGATAATTTGCCGTTGTCTGTGCTGCAGGAAAGACATAACTCTGATGAAAATATTGAGGAGACCAATACGACCTTTATATCACAACTAATTAAAAACTCGTTTCAAATAAACATTAACAACGAAGAAGTTGAGGCATGGATTAACGATAATAACTCGACAGTGTCAGATATGTATTCAAATTTCTTCAGAGGATGAAGAAAAGATGCTGTTCAAAGTTAAGAAACGTCAATAAAATGGGCTGAAGAAAATAATGTAGGCATAGAAAAAGTTTTTGTTCTTCATGAATTGCGGAAACAGGCATTAGAAAAATGTATATCTAATTCGAGGCAAACAACTGTACTTGATTACTATGCCAAAAAAATTAATACCGACTTATGTTAACTTTGAAATATATATTTAATTTGCCTGTACTTATTATAGTTTTGAAATGAAGTTATTTTTTATTAAAACCAAAAACTATTTAAAATAACACTAATTTAATACATATTTAAAACATTTGGAAAAAACTCGATAATCCGGAAATCTCGGTAATCCGGATTTGGGTCTGCAATCAATTATCCGGATTAACGAGTTTTTACTGTATGTCATTCTGAACTCAAATGGGTACGCTATGCCAAATTTCGTCTTAAATCATGAGAATTGTCCTTTAGCCAAATAAATGAGCGTACAAAATGTCATCTACATCGGATCATTAATACGACCACTACTTTGACGGACAGCCACTTCGTGATTTGATTATGGAATATATGAAAAGGATTAAAAACATATCAAGTCTGTATGTGGTATTTTATTAGAATATCTATTGGTATTTTATAAGTCTATTGACTTAAGACCTATCGATCTTATATACGATCCATTAAGAAGGTCCAGTGGACTTCTATAAGAAAAACCAGTGAGCGGAGTGGAATAGTCAGACGGTGATAGTCGTGAATATCACTGACATCTAACGTTCTGGGGATCTATATTGCGAACCTGAGTAATATGCGATATTTGCACTCTCTTGATCGAATAGATGTTAAAAGCACCTCTTCTTAGCCTGTTTTACACACAAAAGTCGTGGTTCATGTGAACCGCTTAATATTGACCAATCATTATTCCAACTATTACAATTAGTTGGCCAGATTCTTTTCTACCATAACGTATTTGTAATTTTCTGTTTATAATTGTGGCTTCTAAAGCAACTAAAAATGAGACAAAACTAAAACTTTCGACCCATTTTATCCCATTTACCTTTACTGTCAAATGTTGCAGTCTATGCCCTTTTGTGTATAAATATATATAAAAATCTGTGTTCATTTGACCTGCTAAACATTGACCGATTGTCATGAAAATGCTTATTCCTTGGCTATATCGAACCTACAGGGTTTCCCATATTCGACGGACCCAAGTTTTTTTTTTTTTTTTTTAAATCAAAGAAAAAAATAAAAATTTGGCGGTTGGCAATGTTAATCATTTAATTTATTTTCCAAGTAGATTTGTTTACATCAAATGTCCGCCTCTGGCGTTGATAACGTATTGTGCCCTTTTTGCTGCATTTCCATCGTTTTTGCCAACATTTCGGCCGGAATAGCGGCTATTTCTTCACGAATGTTGTCCTTGAGCTCTTCTACGGTCCTTGGCTTGTTAACGTAAACCTTTGACTTCAAATATCCCCACAAAAAGAAGTCAGGCGGCGTCAAATCTGGCGAACGCGGTGGCCAGTCCAAATCACCACTTTTCGACATCAAACGGCCCGGAAACAAATTCTTCAGAAAATCGATTGTTATGCGACTTGAGTGCGGTAGAGCGCCGTCTTGTTGAAACCAGAACTGCCTCATACGCTTTCGACGAATAATTGGCATCACAAAATTGGTCATCATGTCGCAATAACGCTCCTGATGGTAACTGCATGACCATTTCCATTTTGGAAGAAAAACGGCCCAATGACCGTTTTCGCACTAACGCCGCACCAAACTGTGACTTTATCGTCATGAAGAGGCACTTCTTGAATCTCCTGAGGATTTTCAGTGGCGTAAAAACGGCAATTTTGCTTATTTACGGTGCCATTCAATGTGAAATGGGCTTCATCGGACATGATAATTTTGTTCCAAAATTGCTCGTCATCTTCGGTCATTTCGATGACTCTTTGGGCCCATTCCAATCGACGAGGCTTGTCCGCAGGCAACATTCTTTACGTCAATTCAATTTTGTACGGGAACAAATGCAAATAAATGCGAATAATCCGTTGTAAAGTGGTCCGAGCCATGCCCAACTGCTGAGAACGGCGGTTTTGGGATGTTCTTGGGGACCTCTCAACACTGGCTCGTACGGCAGCGATATTCTCGGCCGATCGCCATGGTCGACTTTTATATGCCCTCTTCGGACTAGAAAGAGCCTTACCAGTCGAAAATTTTTCGTATAAACGCTTAATGGTGTTCTTAGAAGGCGCACATCTCACATTTTTTAATGTTTAAAAACCACGTTGAGTTTTTTAAGCGATGTGACATCTCTGTCAAAAGTTATGGCGTTGCCAGATGGGTCTGTCGAATATGGGCAACCCTGTACATGCAATACGGGACGATTGGTATATAACTATGGCACGACAAATTATAGTGGACAGACGGACGGAAACACATATACTAAAAAACGGGTCTAGGACTAATATTTCGCGGTTTTACAAATTCTTGGGGAGAGTATAAATATGAATCTTCTATAATTATATATTTTATATTCTATTCTTTAACTACTGATTTACTATAAAAAGACAAGTAGGTCTATGATAATAATAAATATTTATCTTCTATAAGAAGACCTATTGAAGACCTTCCCAGCCTTACATAAGAATAACATTTGGCTTTCTATATGATAATTAACGAAGATTTTGTGATGCTCTATAAGAGGTCCCTGTGGTATTCTATAAGATATGTTGGTCTATTATAAGATTGCATTTTGTAGGTAGGGGAGACTGGAGCACATTCGGCACTCTTTTAGGCCTCAATATCTCTGTACTTATTCAACAGATATAAAAATATAATGGCTGGTTATTATCCTCTGATACTTAATTACAAAAACTAGTACCAACAACATTTGATAAACCAGTGAGAGGAGCAGTATAGTCGGACGGGGCCGACCATACGATACCCTACACAACTACCACGGAACTCTAACTTTTTGCGAATGTATATTCCGAGCCTGGGCGATATTTCGTGATACTTGCTCCCTCTAGGCCGATTAGAGGTCAACAGCAAATTTTTCTTACACTGGCATATTTTCCGAATATTTGTAATATTCAATACAGCTCTTCTAATTAATTGTCTAGATTCACTTCACCGTGGGTTGTGTTGTGATGTTCGGCTTATCATTGGCATCAACTCGAAAAAATCACAAAAAAATTATGTATTCGGTCCACTTCATTCCATAATTATAATCTGATCATAACCGAAAATTTTAGGCGTTGTCCTTGACCATAACTGGTACCTCATGGAACATTTCAAAGCGATCAGTGCTATATATCCGCCCTCTAGCGTGGTAATGGGTTACTAAATAATATCTGAGTACATAAGCAACGGTAAATATTTAAGTGTAACTCCCACATCCGAGAACATACAACAATATAATTGGTATCAATTTAATGGTCAGCCACTCCTCTTGGATATACTATCAACTTCTCGGGTCTATGTCCTTTAGGAGTAAATATATACGCCATAGAACCAAATTTTGTAATTTTTCACACAGAAGTCAAGGTCCATTTGACCCGCTAAATATTGACCGATCTTTATCAAAAAAGGCATGTTTATTCTTTGGACCGATCCCCTTCTCTCCATGTAAAATTCACGATGTTCGGGCCATAATTACGACCTCTGAAGCGACCAGAAAAACCGACAAAAAATTCATTTATAATACCCTGACAACATAGTTGTGTAGGGTATAATAATTATTAGTTAAGGGGACCCCCCATTCTCGGGGTCAAACATTTTGTTGATATAATTATAGAATGTGCCTACAACATTTCAAATGAAAATCTCAAGAACTCTTGAAGATATAGCCTATATTGTGTCACCATCACGTGACGCGTTTTTCTCTATTTTTTGCGAATGGCGGGCACGATAACTCAAAAACTAATAACCCAATCGAATTTTTACACGTTTCTCTGTGAGTGTATAGCTATCGTATGAACTAGGATAAAGCCAATCTGTGAAGATCTTCCTTATTTTTTAACTTGGGTTTTGGTAAAAAAATCGGCGATTTTCCAAAAATATTTTTTCAAAGGTCCACCATTTTCTTAATTTTACAGCGAAGTCAATAATCCTAGCTCATACGAGAGCCAGACATGTACTCTTTCTAACACCGTTGGAATTTTCGGCTTCCGATGTTCCAGTGAGGAGTTATCGTGCCCGCCATCAAAAATAAGAAATTTTCTTTAATTACAAAAAACAACAACAAAAATTTTTTGTAAATTATTTTTCTTCTATTTTAAATCTTCAATTATATGTGTGTAAAGTTACAAACCTTAACAAGCATTGGTATTGATTTACCAGCCCATTGAAAATCTTGAAAAATTAAAATCGAGAATGGGGGGGTTTCCTTAAATATTTTTACAGTTTTGTCAAAAAAGTCAAATTCTCCCCTAACTGGGGGTAGCTTCGACATTTGACGGGGCACATTCGGCACCCATAGGCATAGCCTGGCAATTATCATTGCTATCAGTCCGGATGGAATTCAGATCCTGTAAAGCTTCTATTTTATTTTTAATATGCGACTCAATGTTTGAATTTTAAGGCTATATTTTCTAGCGGCGGACTTCTCAAGGCTTTTAAGGATTATTTATAAAGACAACCCCTTATATGGCCGAATGTACGCCACTTAAAATGCCAAATCTATCCCAAAAGTTACTTTCTATAGTTTAACTCATATTTTTCTATCAATCCTCTAAAAACATTATATTTGTAATTACTTTTATAAGACTAGACATTGTAATTAACGACGTTCCATAACATTTTAAAATTTTTTTTTTTTTTGTTTTTTTTTTTTTACAAAATACTTATGAAATGGAGTGGAAATATTACAAAAACATCTGTTAAAATCCAAAAACTCGTCCATAATAAGCTTATTAGCTAGAGATTCCAAACTGTGCTACAGTTATTTATTTTGATATTCGATACTTATGGATCAAAGCTAGTGATTTACAATGAGAGCTTCATATCGAAAACGCCATTGCAGAATATGTCCCAATCCGAAGGTGCCACAGACTCCCCTAAGCCTTCAGACCTTCTTTGAGAAGGCATCTTGGTCTCTTGCGTCTTTCACAAGAAAATGTATTAGACTTCTATAAGACGACTTCTTCTTTTCTATAAGAAGGCCTCTTCAAATCTGAGTACATTTGCAGATGCACTCAGATTTGTAATTCCCTAAATATCAACCAATTATTACCAAAAACTATTGGTGTGTAGTGTACAGAAATTATGGTCGGAGTGGCAATTATTATTATTATTATTATTCCATACTATAATTAAAGTTCTCCCCCACATCGATTCTACAGCCTTGATTCGGCTAGACTTGGTCATTAATATGCAGTTTCGTATTCCGTATTCGCAGGTGTTGTTCTGTATATCTGCGAAATTGCATTTCTTTCGTACTTAGCTACCGATTGACTTACAAAGAAATTTCTTTCTTTAAAATTCTGGTGTAGGTGTTATAGGCTATCACATGATAGCCGCCCATATTATGCCAATTTTGTAATTATGCTAATAACAAAAAATATACTTACATTGATCAGAATAAATTTATCCGTGTCCAAGCTAAAAAAAGAAAACAAAGAAAGAAATTAGTAATGTTGATTTTCAATTTCCTGTCTTACAAATCATTCTTGTAAATTGTTTTAGCCGGCCGGCTAATTTTTATGTAGAAAGTTCAAAGTGTTGGTCGTGGACGTCGTCATTCTTTGTCAAAGTCTACAAGTTTTTTACAAGTGCTAGACAATAAGAAGTTCTATGGTTCTAATGCTCAATTCTTGGCCAATTACATGGTCATAATATTGACAGTGGCGACAGATCATAGAATTGCAATGCTAAATGGATTTTTTTGTTCGTTCGTTGAGGTAGCGGTTGGTCGGTCAGCGGTCGTTCGTTCTAATGTCCAATAGAACTTGTTGCAATTCACATGCAACAATAACCTTGGAAAGACAAGTAGTTAGCCAGCCATACGGCGTAATTTGTACTCTATGAGAAGACACGAAAGAAAAACGTTCTTACATAGAATCGTTCTTTTTGCCTCTTTACTTCTTCTTCCTCTCTGGTCCTCTCTTGGCGATATAAAAATCTTTAATTTTTAATTGCATTGATGCTGTAAATTGAAGCTCGCCATGCCACACCACGCCATCTCCCCACACCACATACTATAGTCGAGACAAGTGTTCATAGTCTGCTCCGTGGTCGTGATAGTCGGATATTGATACTGATATTCTCTCTGGCCATTTGTCCGGCCGCCATCCATTGTCCAATAAGTTGCTGTTGATCTGGGCAATCATAAATGGTTTTTATTATTTCTTCAATTCGTTTTGTAAACTATTTAGTATTTCTTTTATGAAATGAAATCGTCGGAATGAAAATTCCATTGCATCGCTATTGCTGGCTATTGTGATCGGATGAGCTTAAATTATTTTAAATGATTTAATTGCCCGTGATGAATGATGAAGAAATCTCGATTGAATGAAGAGATGATATTTTGTGCATTTTGAGATTTATAGAGATTAAACTATTATTGCAGAATAACAATAATCTTAATAGCCTCATAATATTTAGCAAAATATTTTATGGACATGTTTTGTTGGCTGATACACACTGACCCACACAAAGACTGCATTGACATATGGCGACGTTTTAATGTACGTCTGTTTCTTTAGATGTAATATGCTACCCATTAAAAAATTATGGTGTAATAACCTGAGATTTTCACACAAAACAGAAAAAGATTTATTACGTTTAAATTATTTATTGACGTTTAAAATGTAATTTTAATATGCGTTTTATGTTGAAGTAGTTTCATTAGGATGATTGGGGGTTGGTTTCCATTTATGGCCTAAGCGATGGCCTAATTTGTAAACACGATACAGGCCACAGTTATGGACCAATCTTCACGAAATTTTGCATGTAGGATGGGTTCTGGCCAATGAAGACCCCTATTGTTTTTGGAAAAGATCGGTTAATATTTAGGGGATGAAATGGACCAAAAACTTTATTTTTGTCGGTTTTTCTGGTCGCTCCAGAGGCCGCAATTATGGCCCAAACACCGCTAATTTTTGCATGGAGAAGGGGATCGGGCCAAAGAACAAGCATGCCTGTTTTGATAAAGATCGGTCAATATTTAGCGGGTTAAATAGACCCTAAATTTTGTGTGAAAAATGACAAAATTTGTATTCTATAGCGTATATATTTACCATTGAAGGACATAGACCCGAGAAATTGATAGTATATCCAAGAGGAGTGGTTGACCTTTAAATTGATACCAATTATATTGTCGTAGGTACTCGGATGCGGGAGTTACACTTAAATATTTACAGGTGCTTAAGTATTCATATATTATTTAGTAACATATTACCACACTGGAGGGCTGAAATATAGCGCTGATCGCTTTGAAATGTTTCATGAGGTTCCAGTTATGGTCAAGGACAGCGCCTAAAATGTTAGGTGATGATCAGAAAATATTTTTCGGATGAAGTGGACCGACAAGTTAAATATTTGTACTCTTCGAGTCGAAAGCCGAACATCACAACACAACCCACGGTGAAGGGAATTTGGACAAGTAATTAGAGGTACTATACTGATTATTAGTAACATTTGCTGACCTCTAGCTAGTCAAAAGTGTGCGAATATCGCGAAATATTGTCCAATCTCAGTATATAGAACGACAGAAAGTTAGATTTTCATGGAAGTTGTGTAGGGTATCGTATGGTCGGCCCCGTCCGACTATACAGCTCCGCTCACTGGTTTTCACTGCTACAATGTGTTCATTGGTTGTTAAAAAAACGTGGGCTGATTAGTACAATTTGGCTAGATGAATGCATGACAAATAATTGGAAAAAAGAGACAAGACGATATGTGCCAACTACAGAGCAATAAGTGTCTTCCCCATCGCATATAAAGTGATATCCAGCGTACTGTGTGAACCGCAGAAAACAATGGTCAATGACATTATTGGACAATACCAATGCGGCTTCAGACCTGACAAATCCACCATTGACCAGATTTCCACTCGGCGCCAAATCCTAGAAAAGACCCACGAAAAACACATCGACAAATTCCACCTATTCGTCGACTATAAAGCCGCATTCGACAGCCCCATCCGTTCAGAGGTATTTAAAGTCATGCCTGCGTTTGGCAATCCTGCAAAATTAATACGGCTATGCAGGGTAACTTTGAGTGACACAAGGTCAGCAGTTAAAGTCGGAAAAGATCTCTCGGAGCCCTTCAATACCAAACTGCATATGTTACTTGCCTACGCCGACGACATCGACCATAATGGGTCGAAAATTGGTAACAGCCACCTTTGAACGAATTGACTGAGTGGGACTGACAGTAAATGGCGAGAAGATCAAATTGATGGTATCAACGGACAAGACGTCCAGTAGACTCGGACCAACTGTGGAAGTACACCTTCGTGGTAGTGAACGATTATATATACCTCGGTACCGCCATAAACAAAACTAATAACATCAGTTTTGAAATCAGGAGAAGAATAGTGTTGACCAACAGATGATACTGAGTAAGCAAGTCCACCTCTCGTCGGACCAAACTCACACTCTAAAACACGTGCTGTATATGGATCTGAAATATGGGCACTTGCGCAATCAGATGAGGCACCTCTTGGTGTGTTTGAAAGAAAAATTCTCCGGAAGATGTATGGACCGATCTGCATCGACGGTGAATATCGCCGTCGAATGAACCATGAGTAATACCATATATTCTCGGACATCGACATAGTCAGACGGATCATGGTTTCTCAAATGCACTTGGAAATATTTTTTAGCGCGGCCTTTGGAACAACAAGACAGCTAAATTAGCCGGCTCCACATCTCTGATTTTATCTACAGGAAGCTTTTCGTACTAATTTTCTAATCTCTTCTTCTGCTAAAAAGTTAATCTCAATTCGGATATTCGACCAATGATCGGTCACGACAATCGGTACAAATTATAAAAGCGCGATTATAACAGTCAATTGAAAAGTCAATAGCCGAATAGATAGATGAATCATCATAGTGAACTGTTCACGGCGAGCACGTTCTAAAGATTGTACAGATAGATGAATCACTTAAAAGCGTGCAACAAAGCGATCTAGGATTCATTTTTACAACATAGTAAATGTAACGGCCCTCCTCAACAAATCTTGATTTCGTAATTTCTGGAGATTCCATTTAAGAGCCATTCAGGTTATGCTTTGTGAACAATCCATCTCCAGTTCCTACGTCTAATCGGCTTTTGTATGTGTTCTTGATTCATTAGATTTCACAACTCTACTTGGTGGTGTTCAGAATATTTTGGTTCGAGTTGTCGTAAAACCCTACTATTTATAGCCATATTGAGCGAGAAATGTGGCTAAAATCATAAATGTGTCGAAAATGGGACAGGATTATTATACGGGGTGCAAAGATAAAACCTGGATCTATTTATGCTACAAAATGTGCCTCATCGAAATATTGGTTTAAGACCCCATATTTCTATGGAACAAATTCATTTTAGATAATTTGGAGTCGATTTAAAAATTCCGCCAATCTGTCTGACCGGCTGCTGCGCACGAAATCTCTTGAAGGGAGCAACCGATTTCATCTAAACTTTGTACTTTGTAATATTTCTTTTAGACATAAATTAAATTCGATGATGGGAAATGTCGGACCACTCCTTCTGGTACCCTCCCACACAAAATGGTCAAAATTTTGCTGACAATTTATTTTACAATATCTCGTGAACTAAACTTTGGATAACCTAATATTATAACCATGACTTTATAATATTGAGTAATGGGACTAATCGGCCTACTCCTTCTAGAACCTCCCTACAATTGTTGACATTTTGGAAACTTGTACATTTCAAATGAAGCGAACGGAATACCAAATCGAAACTTTGTTCATCGTAATATGTTTACCGTACCTAGATTATGTCTGAAAATGCAACCCGTCGGTCCACTCCTTCTGGTACATAATCCACAAAATGCTCAAGATGTTATAATATCACGTGAACCGACTATCCGATTTTAACTAAAAAAAGATAGAACTAATGGATCCACTCTTTCTAGAATAATAAACATTTTTAAATCTTGATCATGCCATGTAGAGCAAACCGAACATCCATTTCCATCGAAACTTTATACACCGTTCTATTTTTATCGTATCCGAATATGAGGAATAGACCCTTCCTTTTGGCACAATCCAAAGGATGGATCTATTCCTCATGTGCCAACATTTTTAAAATTTATTGATCAATTACAAGCGAATTGAATGTCCGAACAAATTTAACTTTGCAAATTGTAATACTTTTACTAAACCCAGATCGAGGGAACCATCCGTCCACTATATTTGGTATCTTTAAAAAAAGCCGACTGACACATTTTAAGTAGTTTTTTGTTATTTTCTTTTAGAATATAGGTTAGGATTTTTTTCTAAGCCTGTAAGCTAAAGGACAGCCACCTCGTTTGGATATTGTGCCTTTACTTGAAACTATTGTAAGGGATATACCAAACCAATGTTTTTCACGCTCCAAGAACACGGAATGCCAATTTACAGCATATTCCGAACGTGGTCCAAAATATCCAATTTTCAATACTAAAAAAACCTAAGAGTATCAGTAATGTATATGCGAAATTCTAAACCGCTAACTTAAATATTGCGATATTTGTGTTGTTCGGAAAGAATTAGAAGACGCATACATTTTCCTATCTGAGTCATTACTCTTTGCCGCAATTGTTCTGATTGCCCAAAAACCTGAATTCGCGATTTTCGCCACTAAATCCATTGACATGTTGCCAATGCAGGAAACCGTTGCGCATGACGTTCTCTTCAGAATATTGACGGTGATCTATTCAGAATTAGATTATAAATGACCCACCCTCCCTCTCAATTACAAAAGTGGCTTCGTTGTGCTGTGCTGTAATATTTACAATTTATAATCAGATTGCATATTTCGGATTTGCATTGATATTCTATGCAAATATACAGAAACCTGTAACGCGACGATAAGCACTGTTACTTTTTTGCTGCTGCTGTTGTTGCTGGTATTGCTTTACAAATGGATTATTGTGTCACCTGCGTGAACGGGTGTTCTTAATGTGTTGTTCTACAAGTTAAAATATATCTTCGTAGAATTCTCGATGGTGTTGGCTCATTGACTAGCCGGTGGATTACAGCAGAGCAAAAACAAGAACGTAGCGTCGGGTAACGAAGTAACGCAATGTTATACTCTACCAAAAGTCTGACATAAATTCTTTGTCGATGTGAGTGTGTGTGGTGGTGGTGTATTCTCGAAAATACATTTGCAAAATGTCTGAGCTACCTTAGTTGTCTGTCATTAAAAATTATACGTGGAAGTGTTTTTAACCAGCCAGTCTGTCAATATGGTGGTCATACGGTCTGCCGGTCACTTGGTCTGTCGGTCACTCGGTCGATCACTAGTTCTTCAAGTACTTACCCAATAACGGAATTATCATATATAAGTGATATACGTAGTGGGCGCTCTTCAATGCTGCGTTTATGTCTTGTCGAACGATGTGATTGTGTTGTCGTTGTTTTTGTCGCTGTCGTCACCTTGCCAGAAGTAGACTCTTCTTCTTGTAAATTTTGCAATTCATCCACTGGAGTTTCAACAGTTTCGATTTGTACACCATGAACGACCTAGAAAGAAAAATAATAAGAAGGAGAGACAAAATCAATCAATAAATGTTTATTTTTATATTTAGAATAAAAAAATTATAAGGGACTAGTCGATGGGAAGGCACGCACCTGCACGAACTAGTTGATAGCAACAAAAATAGAAATAAAACATGAAACAGTTCATGGAAAGGAAAAAAATATGAATATTTGTTTCAGTATTGAGAAATCATAGGAGGAAAGGATAATATATTTATAGAACCCGTTCCCTACGAGGATCTAACAAATTTTTAATTTTTAAAAGCTGCAAATAGAAACCCTATCCCAATCATTTCATTTTAAGAGACACAAAACCTTAATTTCTACTTTTATGGGAAGAACGGCTCCTGACGAGTCCTTGTGTAGATTTTTCGCCCTCATTTTCTTGAAGCGTAAAATATGCCTTATTTTGCTCATACGATTTAAGATAGGGTCCCTAAAGAAAATAACTAGATATTATTTTTTCATCATCCTTTACCAATTTTTTCAGAAAACTTTGTATCTACGAACATTAACCCCTTGAGCCCCGAATTTTTTTCCGTAATCATAGAACAATTTTCTCTTCACAGATTTAATGCAACTAACCTAGATGGGATATAGACAAAATTTGACATCGCTACATCCTTGCATTCGAGGGATACAGTACGTTCCTTCTGAAAAATAAAAGCCCAATATCAAGTAAACCAAATGCAAAAACGACGAAAGATTCATTTTAAATTATTCTCTATATTCTGTTTTACAAGAATCAAAAATAATTATGTTCGAAAAATTCGTACATTTTGAATACCAAGCGATTTAAATAATTTGGACTGTATACACAAATTAGTACTGTACACATTTCCCCTCATCTGTATATTGAAAAGCTCATAACATTACCAAAAATTTTAATTTTTTAGATTTTTCTTTTAATATGCATCGTCCAAAATCAGGTCTTGACGTATGAAATCCAAAGAATATATATCTACACTCTACATGTTAAATATAAGCTCTAAAACATTTTGTTGCCTGTGGGCAACATTGGGCCACAACGGGTTAATAACTTCGAATAAATTGTACATTGAGGACAGGTATTTTCCTCTGTAATAATTACCATTGTAGAATATTTTGAGGTAAAATAACCTAGTCTTGTTGTATTTACTTAACGGTACAAGCAAATAATGACTCGAGATACAAAAATATTCCTTATCCGATTTGACTCAAGACATGTTATCCCAAAAGTTACCATCAAAAACTTAATCACATCATAACTCAAAATTTAGACCTTTATCGGATTTGTCTTTCTGAGTTCTTACTAAACTCGTCAAAGGCTTTCAAAGAAGTCCAACGTAGGTTTTTTTCTAATAAAATGACTTTTAAGGAGAGATGTATAGCAACAGCACACATAACTGTGGGAATACGACTTCTGTTTACAAGTACAAGGTTCGTAAAGGCAGTTAATGGAGTTATTAAAGAAAAGTAAACAAAGCCAATGTAGTGCCGAACCTTACGACACTACCAATGGCTTTTATTTTTTTGCAGTCGCAATGGCCTATAGAAACTAAAAATATAACAATCAGACTCCATTAAATAATTGTTTATATCGATGACCAGGAAACTAGTCTTCGCGCTAAGTGAACGAATGAAGTCAATGGTCAATGACAGTATTGGACCATACCAATGCGGTTTGAGGCCTTGCATATCTACCATTGACCAGATTTTCACTCTGCGCCAAATACAGGAAAAGACCCACGAAAAACACATCGGCACATTTCACCTATTCGTCTATTATAAAGCCGCATTCGATAGCCCTATCCATTTTAATAGCACAAGATCATCAGTTAAAGTCGAAAAGGACCTCTCAGAGCCCTTCAAAACCGAACGAAGATTTAGACAAGGTGACAGTTTGTCCTGTGATCTTTTTTACAACCTGCTGGAAAAGGTCATATGAGACGCATAGGTGAACAGAAATGGTGCTCTGTACACCAAACAGCATATGTTACTCGCCTATGCCGACGACATCGACAAAATGGGTGGAACATTGCGAGCAGCAACAGCCACCTTTGAACAAATTGAGAAGGAGTCTGCCAAAGTGGCTCTGGCAGTAAATGGCGAGAAGACCAAGCTGATAGTATCAACGCGCAAGACGTCCAGTAGAACCGGACCAACTGTGGAACTTAAAAACTGCAGTTTTGAGGTTCGATATAGCTCGGTACCGCCATAAACAAAGCTAATAACATCAGCTTTGAAATCCGAAAGACAATAGTTTTGGACAACAGATGCTATGGTTTGAGTAAGCATTCTAAGAACAAGACCAACTCTCGCCAGTCCAAAGTCACACTCTACAAGACGCTGATATTAGCTGTGCGGTTGTATGGATCTGAAGCATGAGTACTTGCGCAAGCAGATGCGGCAGCTCTTGGAGTGTTTGAGAGAAAAATGTTCCGAAAGATTTATGGGCCGATCTGCGTCGACGGTGAATATGGCCGTTGAATGAACCATTAGTTGTGCCAGCTATTCTCGGACATTGACATAGTCAGACGTATCAAACTGCAGTGACTACATTGGCTAGACCATCTTGTGAGAATGGATGAGCATGCCCCAGCACAAAAGGAATATAAAAGTGAGTGAACTGATGAGTCACACAGAAGAGGAAGGCCACGCATTTGATGGAAGACAACATTCCGAAACATGGTATATTTTATTGGAAGAGCTGCACACAAAACCGACGCGCTTGGACATATTTTTTAAGTTCGGCTTATAAAACAAATGTTCTGTCTCTAGCCAGCTAAGTAAACAAAACCAAAGTAGTGCCGAACCCTACGGAACTACCAATGGCTTTCATTTTCTGCAGTAATGACCTATTGTAACTAAAAATAAAATATCGGTGACCAATTAATTCAATATCGAAACAATATTTCAAAATATTTCTGTTTCTTCGGCAAAATTTGTACGCTTCAGCAACGTAGGATGGCCAATTCTGGATAGCCCTTAAAAATGTTCTTTAGAAAATCCAAGCCTTGGATAGCCCTTGAAAAATGTTGTTTAGAAAATCCACGCCTTGGATAGCCCTTGAAAAATATTCTTGAGACCCTGAAAAAATATTCTTTGAAAAAACCACTCCTTTGGTTGTGCTTGACAAATATTCTTTAAAAAAAAAAATCCACGCCTTTGGTAACCAGGGCACGGCTTAATTCCTAGAACATAATCTATTCTAATTATGGCTTTAATAAAAATCAAAAATATTCTTAGAAAAATTTCGACATATTTATATTTTTTTGAACAAATATTTGATATAATATACTTATTGTCTTATAATGTGATGATCATTATCAGCTTTCCTACCTGGATAGTTGTAGTATATCTCTACTAGCTATTTAATAAAATATAATCGTAATCAAAATTGTACCACCCATTGACATGGATGACCTGTATATTCCTCAACACCTTTTCATAATCAAAATTTGTAATTACACACACATTTCACCGAAAAACAATTTTCTCAGCAAAATAATAATCAATCCAATACTCATAACAAAAATCAAATTAAAATTTTAGGGTTTGTTAATGAAATGCAACAAGCAATTTTTTTGAATAACATCAATAATAATAATACTACTATTACGTTTTCTGTTTAATTGTTTATATGTAAATTTCATAACTTGGATTTATTGTTTTATCGAAATAAATATCTGTGAGTGTGTGTGTGTGAGTATGTTTACAACGTACCACCACCACCAACACCTATAATTTGGGGCATTGTATTTATTAAACGCGCTTTCAATATTGATTTGCCGATGGTTATTAGGTGTGGTCAAGGTATGATGGATTTTTTGTCGCACGCTCTTGTGAAACACACTGTGCAGTAACACAAAGTTGTTGAATTGTGTTTTTTTCTGGCGAAGAAAATAAGTGCGGGTACTACTACTACTTTCGTCAATTTGCATTTTAATAAGAAAATTTGTTTTTGGGGTTTCGTTTACACCTTAAGCAGTTGGTGATTTAATCCGCAATTCATTCATGCAGTTAACTAACGCGAAATATAAGACCGAAATATTCCCTCCCTCTCCCTAATGAAGGGGACTTTAAATAGGATTTATGAATGATTTTTTAAGGTTTATTAAATTCGTGTATTTTTTTAAAGAATATTTTTGGGAGGTTACCAAAAGGCGTGGACTTTTGAAAGAATATTTTTGAGAGGCTTAACAAAGGCGTGGATTTTTTAAAGAATATTTTTGAGAGGCTTACCAAAGGCGCGGAATTTTTAAAGAATATTTTTGAGAGGCTTACCAAAGGCGTGGATTTTTTAAAGAATATTTTTGGGAGGTTACCCAAAGGCGTGGATTTTTTAAAGAATATTTTTGAGAGGCCTAACAAAGGCGTGGATTTTTTAAAGAATATTTTTGGGAGGTTACCCAAAGGCGTGGATTTTTTAATGAATATTTTTGGGAGGTTACCCAAAGGCGTGGATTTTTTAAAGAATATTTTTTAGAGGGTTACCAAAGGCGTGGATTTTTTAAAGAATATTTTTTAGAGGGTTACCAAAGGCGTGGCTTTTTTAAAGAATATTTTGGGGAGGGTTACCAAAGGCGTGGATTTGTTTAAAGAATATTTTGTAGAGGGTTACCAAAGCCGTGGATTTTTTAAAGAATATTTTGGAGAGGGTTACCAAAGGCGTGGATTTTTTAAAGAATATTTTTGAGAGGCTTAACAAAGGCGTGGATTTTTTAAAGAATATTTTTGAGAGGCTTAACAAAGGCGTGGATTTTTTAAAGAATATTTTTGTGAGGCTTAACAAAGGCATGGATTTCTTAAGGAATATTTTTGAGATGCTTAACAAAGGCATGGATTTTTTAAAGAATATTTTTGAGAGGCTTAACAAATGCGTGGATTTTTTAAAGAATATTTTTGAGAGACTTAACAAAACCGTGGATTTCTTACAGAATATTTTTGAGAGCTTAACAAATGGCGTGGATTTTTTAAAGAATATTTTCAAATTTTTGTCGGTT